GCCCGTGAGCCATGGCAGCTGAGCCTGCGCGTCCGCTCCGCAACGGGAGAGGCCACAACAGTGAGAGGGCCCCGCGACCCCAAAAAAAAAAAAAAAAAAAAAAAAAAAAAATCCAATAGACTGTTCTCAGTTCTTAATCTCCTTGGATTTTCTTGGCCATTTCTCACTTCTCTAAAATCTTTCCTTGCTTGGCTTCTAAGATACTGTACAAGGGTGGTTCTCCTCTGCAGCCAAACACTCTTTTCTAATCTCTACTCTACCTCATCCTAGTCCTCTAACTCTCATCGTTCCTGGGCCCTTTTCTCTCCATTGTTGATTCGTATGGCTTTCATTGATCCTCTATCTTTTTTTTTTTTATTTTATTTTATTTTTATTTTTGGCTGTGCTGGGTCTTCATTGCTGCTCACAGGCTTTCTCTAGTTGCAGCGAGCGGGGGCCACTCTGTTGCGGTGTACGGGCTTCTCATTGCTGTGGCTTCTCTTGTTGTGGAGCACGGGCTCTAGGCACATGGGCTCAGTAGTCGTGGCTCGTGGGCTCTAGAGTGAAGGCTCCGTAGTTGTGGCGCACGGGCTTAGTTGCTCTGCTGGATGTGGGATCTTCCCAGACCAGGGATGGAACCCGTGTCCCCTGCATTGGCAGGTGGATTCTTAACCACTGCGCCACTAGGGAAGTCCCTGATCCTCTATCTTAATGACTAATAGATGGGTATCACCTAAGAGCCAGTTCTGCCTTCTCCTTAGATGTCCTGTCGTCACCTTTAACTCAATCCAAAACTAAGGTAATCATCATTTCTCAATTGGGCATACCTCATCATCATCTGTCCCCAGTCATCCAGAGCCAAATCTTATGTACTGGTTTAAAATATAGACTCTGGAGCCAGACTGCCTGGGTGTAAATCCTGGCTGCACCACATACTAGCTGTGTAACCCTGGACAAGTTAGTTAACCTTTTTGGGCATCAGCTTCCTCACCTGTAAAAATGAGATGTGCCCCCAAATGAAACTGACACTGTATAAAAGCCTCATGTGTGTTGGCTATTATACTTTCTCTTCGTCCCTTATTGGAGTCAGTCACCATAGCCATGATCACAGCTTTGGTCTTATCTCTTCATGCCTCCAACTGGTCTCTTTATCCTTCAACTTTCCCCTCTTCAATCCCTATTGAAGCCCTATGGAATCATCTTCAGAGATAATCATTTTCAAGAGTGTACTATGATTCTTTACCACCTGTAATATCAGGTCCAAAATCCTCCATCTGATATTTAAGATTCTCCATTATCAGGTCCCTACATACTTCTCAAAATTTTTTTCTTTCTACTTACTTAACATAAGGAGTTAAAGCATTTATTTGCAGTACCCTAAAGAAGCCCATCCTACGTCCATGCCTTTGCTCAGACTGTTCCCCTGCCTGAAATTCCATT